TATGAGTCTATTCTTAGGCACACCAGAACTTTAAAGGTCCAGTGTGTAACATTAAAGAGGATCTATTGGCAGAAGTGGAATATAATATTTATAACTATGTTTTCATTAGTGTATAATCAGCAGTTTCAATCTGCAACAACAAGCCATTAAATCCTACACACACACATCCTTTAAGCTAAGTGCTATGAATGCCTGTGCAACATTGAATGGCATCTATCCAGTAGTTATTGAGACGATAGATGAGTCATTGCTAACCCTAGAGCCATGCTGCTAATGTGGCTAAATAATATTGAGTACTTTAACAACCCCCCAGAAGATAGGAATGCCCAAAAGTTAGATTTACTTTTGTGCCACCATCAAGTACAAAATGTCAACTTTTTCCACATGATCACTTATTCATGTTCCCAAGAGTATAAACTCTTTAAATCACCTCAGGTCCTCTCCTACAAGACCACCTTCACGACCTTTACACTGCTGTTCAGGCTCTTTTTCGCAACATTACCAACATCACAGCCTTTTGACTTTTAGTCTCTCAGATACCGGTTTTGACTTTCATATGCACTCTTTATATATATATATAACATTTACCAAGCCATTCTCTCCTCTGCTCTCTCCAGGTTTTTGACAGGACCTACCAATCTTAAAGATCCAGAGGCCAAATTCCGATTTCCAAAAATATTTGTCAGCACAGATGATGGCTACGAGGAGCTGCATCTGATTGTTTACAAGGTAAGGTAGAGTAAATATGATCTCTGCTACTTCGTGACAGTCTACAGGCTTAATCATTCATTCATACAGGAGATTTTTTTTAATGTATTAAAATAGGCGGGAAGGTGTTATTCATTTTTTAGGATGATTTTCATAATCTGTGACTGGAGGATTTGTTTAGGAACAGTAGATTTAGGATGAAATATTCCACTGCTCTATCTAACGATATGGATTTTTGGATTAGCTGAAATTTTTTAAAATGATGAAGTATGTCCCTTCTGATGCTTATCATCACATTAATGTAATGTTTAATCTGTGTGACCTTGTTTCTGCATTTACCCTGCACTGATCTGCTCTTTTGCAGGCGATGAGCGCTGCAGCTTGTTTTATGATCAGTGGTAAGTGTGCACCCACCCACGGAAATGATGCAGTTAACTTTAACTTCCCCTTATACCCCCCTAATTTATTGAGCCATCTAGTATTTTTGGCCATTTTACTGCTCATATACACCTCAGCTCATGTCCCATAATGGCTGACTTTCTACTCCTCCATCTCTTCACAGCCTCAGTGGAGCTGACGAGGGACTTCTGTGAGCAGTTGGATGGCTTGGTGGGCCCTCAGCTTACTTTGCTGGCATCTGACATATGTGAACAGTTCACCATTAACCGCAGGATATCAGGGTCAGTTGAGAATCCACCGCACTCCCAATTTACAACTCACCACCCTGTAGGGCAGGCGACAATATCAATGAAATGAAGTCCCATGATTAACAGTAGCCATGTTGCTTGTCATCAGTTTGCAGTCAGTCCTTTGTATTAACTCTGCCTGGCTGGTAGCGATAGATGAGACTCTGATACCACTGGATATCATCAGGGTACCACTTAGGGGTAACTCAAGCAGTGTAGCTTTAAAGACTGGCATCCTGGCCCGCTCTCCTTTAACCCTAGCAGTTAGCTTCAGATACATCCTGGCCTGTAATCCAAGACTTGGTCTCCCTGGTCAAGGCAATTTGATGGACTCCCTTTTTAATCACTCTAGTGAAGAATCTGCTGAATAAATAATGCCGTCCCAAATTCCTCAGCTTGCATGCAGGTCTGTGTCCTGATGCAACTGTAAATAATTAGTCGCAGCACAGATAAAAATCAGTTGTATGGCCTACATGAATACACACACGCTGTTCTAGAGATGCAGTTACAGAACTGTTGTTAACTGTGATAACTGTATCCTAAGCTCACATTAAAGTGGGTGGACAACGGAGTAGGCTTAATTAAACTTGCTTTTTGGTGGATGTTTTCATGATTTGGCTTGCTGTATCACGTATTAATAATGTGTGTTTACTGAACAGCTTGCCGCAGAGAGATCTGAACTCTTTAACCTGAAGTTGTTGGTTTTTATTGATGTAAACAAGGGCCATGGGTCCAGTTTTAATGTTGCAAGATGTGTCTTTCCTCTAAATCTGTCCTGAAATTGTTCTAGTAGATTCTTCTCCTGCTTCATATGCATACAAAAATCTGTCACCTTAAAAATTTAGCATCCTTCAAAAAGATTCACAACAAAAACTGATAAAATAATAACGTAGCCCCAAAAGTGACTGAAGATGTTACTTTTGTTTCTTTTGTCCTTTCAGACCAGATAAGGAGCCCCAATTTAAGTTCATCTACTTCAACCACATGAACCTGGCGGAGAAGAGCACCATTCACATGAGGAAGACTGCCAGTGTTTGCCTCACCTCTGTCCACCCTGACCTCATGAAGATCCTGGGAGACATCAACTGTGACTTCGCCAGGTACAGCAGAGAACATTGGCTTTGTAAAACTGTAGCTGCATTTATTTTTACCGAATACCTCCAGACATTGGTTGAGTAGTTTTTACAGTGACTGGCCACAAATCAGCATGGTGGGGCTGTTGGTCATCCTAGTAGAAACCAAAGAGTAGATACAGTTAATTAGTTTTAGTTAAGGTTGCTTTAGGTTTCATGTCGAAGAGGCAATGCCATAGAGACATGGCATAACAGCAAGAGACCATTAAAATCGAACGATCTTCAGCTCTAAACAGCAGCTGTTCTCAGATTTCACAAAACCAGAAAAAGGTGTGTAAAACTACAAACTCTCAATTCCTTTCCCCTGGGTATGACCACAGCTGTATCACTTTCATACATAATATATTTCCCTTGGGAACTTTGTAAACTCACTCTCGTATGAAGCAGTTATGAGACTGTAGTCATGTGAAAGTCCTGTTTCCAGTCTGTGGGACATACAGTGGCATCGACATTCATAGCATTTATTAAGTATCAATATCAGTTCCTCATATTGTGCAGATGTTTCCTAGACGTTCTTACCTTGTCAGAAACCTCAAAACATACACACTGCTATTTATGTAAATAGATACTGGAATTGGGGTTATTTCATGTAGTGTGTTTTTTAACAGGAAATTCAGATGTTTTAGAGTTTGAACTAAGAAGGCATCTCTGATACAAACCTTAAGAAATGTTAATTCTATGACTCATTTCTTTCCATCTGTCTCCCAGGGTGGATGAAGATGAAGAAATAATCGTAAAAGCAATGACAGACTACTGGGTAGTCGGCAAGAAGTCAGACCAGAGAGAACTGTATGTGATCCTGAATCAGAAGAACGCCAATCTGATCGAAGTAAACGGTATGTTTCCATCACATGGCAATGAGTAAATCTGTGTCCTTACTGCCACAATAGACAATCTGCCCTGATCCTTAATCTCTACCTCACCCCAAATGCCCTTTTATCTTTTCTCCGCTACAGAGGAGGTTAAGAGGCTTTGTGCGACGCAGTTCAACAACATTTTCTTCTTGGACTGATGCAGCGGAGAGACAGAGGACTGTTTCACCACACTAAGAACTGTCAGTGTTGCAGGGTATCATGACAGCATCAGTGTAATGCAATAATTGCATTGTAAAATAAGAAAAAAATAAAAAGCTCTCTCACCAAGTTTTTTTTTTTTTAATTTAACCTACAAAAATTGTAATTTTCTCTTGTAATTAAGTGTAAATCCAGATTTTTACTGTACATGTACTTTATTTTCTTTCATTTTATTTGTACATACTCGTAGGATTTTGTTAACTGTTCATGTTGGATTTCTTTCAAATTTCAATTTGTTCATGCATTTTTTTTTTTTAATGAACACATCATGACAATGTCTCAAATTAATTTAAAAACTGACATGCACAGAACAGTTTACTCCAGGTTACCTTGATGATCAGTGATAGTTTTAAAATAAAATGTCATTATGTCAAAAGTATTGTGGTTTGTAAACGACTGCACTAACTTTAAATAAATTAAGAAGTAATTTTACTGAAATGTCTTGTTTTTTGTTAAAGATGCACATCAAGTAAAAGCTTCCAAATAACAACATCAGCAATCATGGTTATCTGAAATCTATGGGACACATTTTCACATGAAAATATAATTGGACACTGAAGTTTTATGTAAATACAGCATGGTGTCATAAGGTCTGACTCACCTCTGTGCTGTTTTTACCAGTGGGGAACATTATATATAGTAGGAAGACATCTATTTACATGTAGCATTTATTGTTGACACATTTTTCTGTGCATTTGTTATGGGATTCTTTTTCAAGGAATGCAATTTGCATATTTTTAGTATTTTGCAGTCATTTCTGCATCTAAAACAGGCGAACAGCCAAAATAACTAATTTGAGGTTTGACCTTAAATGTTTCAAACTGGAGGCTCTGGAACATGCCAGGGAGGGATTATAGAGATTTACTGTTTGGGAGCGAGTTTATTTTTTATATAAATAGCAACCCAGCCCATATTATCCTGTTTGTCAGTATGCTTTCCAATTGCAAGGACAGAGTAAGTTACAGACAGAACAGAAAGTAATAATCCCTTCTTAATAAAAGCATACAAATGCAAAATAAAAATCTTTGTAGACAAAAACAAATAGTACAGCTTTATTGTAGGAAATGTTTAAGAGAGGCTGACACTAACCTGACTACTTTGTAATGACTCAGAATGCAAGTTAGAAAGATATACATTTACTAGGACATAGTATGAAAACACCTGTATTTTATTATGGAATAAAAATCATGATTAAACAAAAGAAACAAGTACAAATGTAAGCGGTTATAAGCTGTTACATTTGTACCTCACACTGCAGACCAATAGGTGGCATCACATCTTACACTTGTTACTACAGAAAAACAAGCTACAGAAGAAGAAAAAGAACCAATCAGCGCTCACCGTTCCAGTCTGGTTTCCAGCCAATCAGCGTCGCCTCAGATGAATTTCAAAAAGTCACCCGCCATGATTGTTTTTAGACTAAAGTAGTCCGTCCGTTGTGCAGTAAGTTTGTTTACTGGACGGCCTGAAGACGAAGTTTGCTTTTATACGTGTTATTTTTTTTGGAAGAGAGCAAGGTAAGATGGACGTGTATTTCTGTATAATCTGTATCAATAGTTTAGATGGTTTGGTAGCCAACAGTTAGCACTAACGTTAGTTCGTGTATCTCCTCTGGCGGTGAGTTAAACAACGTTACTGAACTTTACAGTCACTTTACATCATTTGGTGGCTAACGTGTTTAAATCAGCGTTACATTGTGTTTTCACGGGCTTTAATTATAACGACAGCTATCTTACGTGCAGTCTGTGCTTCAAGTGAAATGATTCACATTATAAATGATCATATGGGCTCAACTGAAACATCTCTTTAAGTAAGTTATTGTTGTCCAGAGAAAGTGTTTCTATATACAAACAAAAGGTTACTCTCTCATTGTGGCCCCGAAATGTTCTTCCTCTGACTAACATTTCACTTTTTTATTTTATTTGGATTTGTACTTTAATTCACTATCTAAAACCTAACTAAATGTTAACTTTAACGTTAGTTAACTTAAGTTGGAGACAAACCTTCCTAAACAGAAATGAAGCTATTTTATTTACATTTCAGAAACAGTAAAAGT